ATCAGGATCAGAATGTGGAAAGGACTGCATGTCTTCAGAACCTGGATCAGGTTCATGATGAGATTGAATCAAAATAAAATGCCAAGAGACAAAGCTGCTTCAGAACATTTGGAGGGCATGGTGGAGAGGATGGGGCAGAGAAAGAACATGAATGCCTGAGAAGAGAGCAGAATCTTCACCTGGAGGAAAGAACATAATTCTTTTGCCAATCTGATGAACAATGAAAATCCTTTATTTTCAAATAAGAAAGTTACAAAGGGATGGGCCTGAGCTGTTTGTGGAGCTCAGCTCTGAAGGGATGATCCAGGAGACAATTACAAGCCTTTGGGAAGAACTTGGCACTGTGTGTTGACAGGGTTGCCATTAAATTATTAAAAGCAGAAGGAGGTAAACAAAGCCAAAGGCTGTAGAGAATAATTCTGTTGATTTCAGATAGCTGAAAAAATTTCAGAGCAATGGAAAGTGGTTTTCAGAAATGCAATGTAAAAGCCAGTGGAGAGAGTGCCTGTGTTTTTCTGAAAGCCTAAAAAGCTTTCTCAGAAGGGTTTACATTTTTGGGGGGCTGTTTTTATGGGGATTTTATTTGTTTGTGTTTTAATAAAGCAGGAGCATTTCAGTAACACCAATTTGGATTCTGGAAAAAGAATTCTTCCAAGTATTAAATAATCATTATGTATTTGAAGACGTATTCAGAATGAACACACACACTTCAAGATTTTAAGAAATCTTACGATGCTATATTGTGGCCTTTGAGCCACACTGGAGGCATTTAAAACTCCATAAGACTCCATAAAACTCCATAAAACTCCACAATTTTTTAACAGGCATAGTCACAGTTTGCAAAGAAGATTGAGCACGAAGAAGGTGTGAAATCTCTGGCCCATTTAATATAAATGAGGGATTAAGGTATGGAAATGCATTATCCCTGATAGTCTTCAATATAGTCAAAATGTTACATTCACTGACATTTTCAGACTACAGTGGACAAAATAATGGAGCACCTTTGGGATCCTATGGTCTGGGCAACTGAAAAGGAAGCAGAAGGTGCTGAATGAAAAATGGCTACTTGAAGAAAAACAGAAGAAATAATATAAAATCACACATCTAATAAGCACAAATAATAAAAAATACCAATAAATTGAATAGATTAGTAAAACATTTACCAAAAAAAAGGAAAATGACATTGATAAACAGAATCAAGAACAAATTCTGTGACCATTGTTATATGAAAAGTCACAGAGTTTCAATATCTGCCAGCAAATTTGGTTTGTTGTTTTTTAAAATTTTGTCTCAAGTTGTGGTATACAACCCTAACACCCAGCACTATGAAATGAACCTGATACTAAATAACTCAGTAACTAAAATACACTCAGCATTCTTAGTGACTGTTATTTTTAGATCAGTAAAGAGCTCTGAGTACTCTCAATACATTAATTAATTAATCTTAAATATTCCCATGTTATTAGTAAGGTTAATTTTATAATGCCTAAGTATTCAGTTAGGAAACCTTTCCTGGCCATACTTCCACCATCTATTTAGAAGCAGAAACAAAGTTACCTGTATTCATATATTTAAAAGATTTTTATACCTGACCATTTGGCTCTTAGTGCTTTGGGAAGGGATGGGGAAGAGGAGACTTGCAGGACTATTGGCAAATTTCTTGTCTGAGAGAAAGCTTTAGGAAACAGACAATTTGTGTAGAGTACTTTCATGAAAATATCCATGCTGGTTATCCTAAACATTGTGTTCCAAAACTATGTTTATTTTTTCTCAATTATATTTTACAACTGAATGTCTTAAGAGACCATCAGGACTTCACATGAAAAAATAAATTTTGCTTCATGTTAATCATTAAAAATAATAAAGTAAAAATTCTGACCATAGAATAATTGTTAAAAAGACACAAACCCTCAGCAGAATGTGTCTGATATCTCTTAGGTCTTGAAGTGTATTTGAAGAGCTCCATCTTACTTTCTTCTTGCTTCTTGTCCAATGAAAGGCCTTTTAGAAAAAGGCATTTACTAAAATTGGAAAATAGCATAGCTAAGCATTGTTTTGATAATATCATAGAAAGAGAAACAGTTGTCATTAAATGAGTAGCAATTCTGTCAGAATTAATCTTTCTGTATTATTGATTCTGATCTAAGCATGTAAGAACTACTACAGGAAAATAAAGTAGAAAAGGAAGGATACAAAAGGACAGGAGTTGCCTCACCTACTGCACTCAGTCTTGGACATGCTGAAAATACTGACACACAACTGATAATAATTGATAACATTTTCTATACAGTGTTTCAAGCACACTTCTATATCATCCCTCAGAAGGACAAACACACTTAAGATTTTATTTCTGTAGAAAGGGCTGTTATTATGTACATAAACAATCACTAAGTTAACCTTTATACAATTCAATATAATATGTGAGAATATGTGAGGAACCAGAGAATGTTCTGATTTAGATCAACTGTGAAACCAACTACATAATCCATTATATAAATATATATATATAGGCACACACACATATGCTTTAAAAAAAATTGTTTGGTTTGCCCATCAGTTCTACTCTTGCTTTCTCATTGTAGAAAAAGGCAGTTTCTAACATATCAGCAAGGGCAGAGAAATGTTGTTTCAAAAAAAAAAAAAACAAGTTTCAGCATACATGACCAAGCCTGGGGTGATATTAGTCCCTTTTCAGCCTCACAATAAATTTCAGAGAGCCACGAGAATTCCAGCTATATGTACAATATGATGATTTTCCAAATCAGAAATACCTGCAGCCATGGAAATGGCCACATGTGGCCATCCATATAGGCAGTTATATAGCAATATAAACAATCCTTATGAAAGCAAAATTGCATTAAATAAGGAAAAGCTGAACCACCAATGTATGGCCCTGAGTTATCCAAGCCCAGATTGTGCAAGGACGTTTTTGCCATCTTTTTTCTCTGTTGTTAGTATTTTATGAGGAAGTACAACTGAAGTACATGGGAAGTTCTGGCCACCTGCAGATATCTCTGGGCTTGTTGTTATTTGTTATAAGCACCTAAAATAGCCTTGGATGTTCCATACTTTATTCTAGATTTGAAATAAGTATCAGCAAACTAGAGTTTTTCAGGTAATTCTGCACCTTAGAGAGTGGAAAAATACAGTTAATTTATTTAATTTTCCCCACTAATGTTGAACATTCTGAACAGGACAACTTTGCTTATAAAGAAAAGGGATTATAAATCACCTTTAACAGAGAATTTTTCTTTATTGTCAAGAAACCTTTCAGATGATTTTTAAAAAATTGGTAATGAAATTAGATACATGATGATTTTATAATTTATATGAATACCAGGCAAGTTATTATGCATGAAGATTGAACATCTGTTGAAGTGATCCCAAACCAAAATTCTTACCATCAGGATTCCAGCCTCTACATTAAATTATTTAGAAAACAATTATTGCTGCAGATTTTACACATAACAAATTCCACGCCCCAATCTGAAATTGTCAAAATGTTTTTAATTTGGGAAGATGAAAGAAAACTCTATGTATAAAAAGAGCAGTCAGCTATGAAAAAAATTCTCAAATCAGATGAATTTGAATGTTCCTTAATGGTATATTCATGCCTTAACATGTCAAAAATGTGACCTTTTTTATTAAATAATTTTAATAGTGGCAGCATACTGATAACCTTTTTTATTTTTTTTATTTTTTTGTACAGGTGAACAAACATTTCATTACATTTCATAGGAATGTAATGAATGGAAGCAAATATTCTGAAGTGTGCAAATTCAACTGAAGTAGTTTCAGGATTTTATATAAATATAGAAATACAAAGAAGAACTGAAGTACTAAACCCATGTTACCATGGACAGGCTATGTCATATTTGGAACAGTAATTTGTGGCTGCTGGATATCCCTCAGCAGAATCCACAGACTGAGGAGGGGGAGGTTGAATCCTGACAATCAGAACTTCACTGGGCCTTACTTACCAGAACAGCATTTATTTATTTTTTATCCAATATAAATCACATTAAGAGCAAAACAGGCCATTCAACATTTTCTGACTCTAAGAAAGGGTTCCAAAGTTAAATTGGACAAGAGGATTTAAAAAAAATATGGCCTTTTCTTGACACAATCATAATGGGACCGTTCATAAAACATCTCATCTGATGTACAGTGGTCGTTACCAAAAAGTTTGCACTTGTCAACAACTAGCAAAATGTAGTTATCAGACATTTATGCTATTTATACCTTCCAAAAAGAAAGCTTTGGTATGCGTTTGCAAACTTCTTGTTTTTAAGTGTGGCCATTATATAAGTATTTTTTATTTACTTCATTATTATATGAATTTACTAATTTGCATGCAATCAGGGATCCTGGGAGTAGAAAGACACTTCAAAATAAAAATTCTCAGAGTGAAGGGAAATGCTGAATGATCCCATGACAAACATGCTTTTCTTGTACAGTAAAATAACATTTTTACCTGAAAACACAGGAAAATGGCTGATCGCTATTTGCCTACCTTCAGTGTCGCAATAAAATATTTTAATCCCTTTAAAACTAACACCTGATTTTCAAGTATTTTTCAAACTCTGGTTGAGATACAGAAGAATACAATCCTGTATGAGTGAGCACAGCCAAAGCTCTCCTAGAGGACTGGATGGTCTTTCTGTGGATGGAGTTTGCAGTACATTCACAAAACACACTGTATATTTCTTATGTGAAATGCTCAGATTGAGGATAACACAGAGTTTGGACTATATTCCAGACAAGTGACTCTTTCTTTTTCCTAAGTGTATATGCATCATGTGAACCAGTCCCATCAGTTTATATTCACTTGAACAGATTAACTTTAAAACTGGCAGAAAGGGCTGTTTTCAAAGGACATTTTTTTCACTAGGCTAAGTAGCACTGGTTCAAAGTTCCCAACAGAACCTTTAAAAATGAATTTTTAAAGTTTTGGGTTATATGAGGTCAGAATAGGCAATAAAAGTCACAAGATGGTATTATTTTAAGATAATAATCTTATTTTAAGATATGAAAATACTGAAACAATCATGCCAGTATAAGAAATAATTATACCATAATTCATAAGTGCATAATTTATCAAAACAATAGAGCAGTCATGGTTAGATGCAACCTAATACTCCTGTATAAGATATAACTACATACTGTACAATTGTTCCTTTTTAATAATTATTTTTACATTTAGTCCTCATCCAAATTAAGCTGAGTACTTCTATGTATGAATGGCTTTAGGAAATAAACACAACTCACAACAGGGCTTTATTACTGCTACTGCACCACCATGGCATGCAAGTAACTATGTAGTCAACTATAAACAGTAAAATGTCATCATCTTTCTGAAATAAAAAGAACATAAAAAATACAGATAAAGTAGTAAACATCAATCATCTTTTTATATCTTTCATATGTACCAAAAGTCTATCATTACATGAGACATTTATACCTCTGTATCACTCTCCTGTACTAGGATGGTGGCAAATTTGGAGTTGAGAAACTATACTTTCAACAAGCTCGTACAAAACTACTGGTTTCATATTACACTCTGTCAGTGTGCAATGCATAAATGAGAATATGATACATCTGCTACCTGCCCCTTAGCATTCTCTTACTCTTTTCTATGTTCATGAATTTTGAGTAAATGAAAAGACCAAGGGCCATTAAAGCTGGTTGCCAGGTTATCCTGTAGCTACTGAGCTCCCCAAGGACTAAAGTCCTTCACAAAGGAAATTCTTTCATCTGCTTTTTGTTCTTGAGTACTGATTGTGTGAGGTTCTGTACTGGTTGTGGGATTTGACAGCCAATCCTAGAAGCAAGATGGATTTTTAAACATTTATTTATATAGCATAATTCCTTAACAGGTGCTAAAGTGACAATGAGATGAAGTTCAGCAGTTGTAAGGAATAAAAATGTCCATACTTTATTATAAAAACAAGAGCCAAAGTGCTGACTGGGATTAATCTCTTCTGCTTACAGGTCAGGACAATATATAGATACTAGCAAATTTCAATATTGAAAAGGGAGCAGGTTGAATAACAGCACGTTCAACTTTCCTTAGATTTGCAGTCTTGGAGACTCTCTTGGGGAAAAAATATTGTAAAGCAGCTTTTCCATGCTCAATTAATTTTGCTGATCATTTACCTGGCATGGAGGATCCTCTTTGTAAAATATCTCTAATTCAGGACAAACTCTGAGGTACAGAAAAGAAAGCCCACCCATCACTCTTCTGCAGCCCAAATTATGTTTATGAGGTTTTTTCCAGTGTAAAGAAAAATAATAATTAAATGCTCAAGTCATACTATTAAATAGAATTATCTTTCAAATATTACATGTGGTATTGTTGGGATACACCTTTGCTGAATTCAAAAGCTGCCTACCTCTTCTGGACAATGATAAAAAACACCTAAATCCAAATAATTCTCTTTAGTTCCTGCTTGCTGGAAAGAAATCTTAATGCCAATTACAAGGAAAGAACTGTACAATTCCCATTGTTACATTAAGCTATAAAAAAATTTCCTTTAGCTTCTTGGAATTTGCTCAGTTTTCAATTATACAATTTGTTTCTTCATTACAAAAAAATGTGAAGTTTCTCCTAGTCCTGTCCAAGGATTTTCCCTGCTCTGATATGTTCAGGATTAAGAATACTCGGTATTTGATTTTGTATTTTGTTGATACCAGGATCCACTCTTTATTAAAGCTCATCAAGCATACTCATACCTACCACAACTGGGGGATAGCAGGCTGTGTGGCTATAACAGAGCACAGTACCTCATGTGTTCACCCATAGATTTGCCTCCATAAAAACTGAGGCTGTAGTATAGCTTTCAATGGAAGCCATTTAAAAAGAAAACATTACAGAATATACAATTGTAGTTTTTGACTCTCAGACACAAGTTCCTTGACGTGTTGAAAGGTGATGTTTTCGATTTCTGACTCCTGAGCTCTTATCTTTACAGTCCGCAGGCTTCTGTTGTGAAATGTCTATCAGAGCACTTGCAATTGCAAGACCTGTAAGATAAATAAAAGAAAAACAAAATTTAATGCTCAGCTTTCCTGAGAAGAATTCCAGAGCAGCGTGATGGTTTCTTTCAAGGCAAGTTTATGTACTTTCCCAGAAGTGATCAGTTTAATTTCAAAGTCAGATAACAAGTTCTCACTTTCTTAAATGCCACTTGGTAACAGTGAAGAGACAGTGGAAGGAAAAAAATGCAGTTAAGATACCAGACTGGAAATAAGGAGAACTGAGCTCCATTTGAGTCTCTTACTGATTTGCTGTGTGATATTATGACCATTTTCATGGTTAAGTGGACCAGAAGCTTTCAGACATGAATGTTCTCATATTAAATGTATGTGCATTGCATTTAGAAATGGATAAAATAATCAAATCAGAAAATAAGAGAGAAACAGAAACTGCATCTAGGGTAACATTGTACCCCTGAATATATGCTTTTGCAAAAAAAAAAAAAAAAAAAATTAAAAAAAAAGACTCTTTAATTGGGGAATATCAGAATATCCAGAGGTTAAGATTTAACACAAAAATATCTTTCTAGAAAGCACAGATCTTTAAAGAAGTAGTGAACCATGACGGCCTGGGTAAATTCTAAATGTCTTCAACTCACCAAAACTCTTCTGGTCTGGATTCTGGTTAATTTGTTGATATTTCATGACCTGTTGTAATCTTAACAGGGTATTGCCAAGGTAATAGACCAGCATGCTTAGGAATCATAGAAACACAGAATATTCTGAGTTGGAAAGGACCCACAAGGACCACCAAGTCCTGCTTCTGGCCCTGAACAGGACAGTAGCAGGAACCCCACCACGTGCATTGCTCATGTCCTTCTTGAACTCCGTCAGTGCTGTGACCACTGCCCTGGGGAGCCTGTTCCAGTGCCAACCACCCTCTAGATGAAGTGATTTTGTTCTAATATCCAACCCAAATTTCTCCTGACACAACTGCACGCTGTTCCTTTGGATCCTGTCACTGACCAGCACAGAGCAGAGATCAGTGTCTGACCCTGCTCTTCCCCTCATGAGGAAGGTGGAGCTGCACTGAGGTCTCCCCTCACTCTCCTCTCCTCCAGGCTGAACAGACCAAGTGACCTCAGCCACTCCTCATTCAACTTCCCTTCCACACCTAAGAAGCTAATATTTTAAGAATTTACTCTTCCATTTCCTTGCTACTGCATCCTTTCTAGAAATTAATTACTTCTAAAATGCTGAGATTAACAATCCACTTAATACAGGGTAGTTCTAGCCTTTTAAATTCACACAGGTGACATTGCAATCAAATGGATTAGGCGTATTCACATAATTTATACTTTTTACTGCAAACAAACCACAAAAACCACATCTACCCAAAATGTAGGTAAGGATGGTGCTGGTTCTCCATGCGGCCCAAAACTTTTCATTCTCCAACCAATAACTCTATCACTCTCCAAGGAAACCTTTGAAAACACTTTTCACCATGTTTAACAGGCAGTCTCTATTTCTTATCTCAAACCAATATCAAACTCCATTTATCTATTACACAGATTCCAATTTTGCAATACTTTTCATGCAATCCCTCATTACAGCTCTTAGCTACTAAGAAACTGTGCAAAAATTGTTTTTCACTAACAAGTGTTGCTACAGTCTTCTTTCATAATATAAGATATATTATATATAGATTTAGTTCAGGTTTCCAGTATCTTGAAAATTCTATGCTATTGCACACTGGTAACACTACCTTTCTTAAATTTCAAAAAAGTTACAAGAAGTAATTAATACACATCCAGATTTTAAAAATGCAGGACACTGTAAAACGCTAAGTACAATTATCATTGATACATTTCAGGATATGTAAGAGCCAAGATTAATCAAGTTGTTTTTTCTCACATACACAAATATTTTGTGGCATGAGGCAGTGATGCTTAAAATTGGACTTTGACAAATTAAATTGTTGAAATCTTTGAGGCACCTTTAAAGTTTAAGCAATAAACTTAGGTATTAGCAGGGATAAAATTCAGGGATAAAACCTAAATAACATTCTGATGATTGCTTACATCTCATCCCATCTACAACAGCTAGGCTTAGGGACTATGCTAAACAGAAGGAGTATTATTAGTAAAGAGATTTTTTTAATTTAATAAGCTATTTTAAAATATATTTGGATGTATTAAGCTAATCTCACTTACTAGAACAACTAGTTCTAACAAAAAGGAATCCTTAGGTCTAACACTCCATACTGGAATGTACTGGCATGTTGATAGAATTACGTTAAAATCAGGTCACTACAGAAGATCATTTTTCAAAACATCACACCAATCATCTGATGAAATTCATTTATTATGTTCTCTACGCCCAGCATAGTTCCTTGTTATCAAAGCAATACAATTAACTAGGGGAACAATTCATTATTTCAGACTGGCAGTCTAAAGGAATTTCATTTACCAAGTCAAGCTTGTGCACAGACACTTCGAGCAAGGAGAATTTACATCAAAATAAACCAGAAGAAATGCTGTGGCTTAAATATTCATTAAAAAAAACCCCACCAAAACCAAAACATTCCCTTGATGTTACAGGTTTTTTATCTAAATAATAAATATGAATACATTTACAGTCATTGAAGTTGGAACTGTAAATTGTACAGTGCTCTAGATGTGTTATCTCAACTCCTAAGTTATTACATTTACCCGCTGTCTCTGAATGCTGCTGTTTAAGTATTCTACCTAACATCCAAACTGGTATTTTCCAAATCAGCACATGGTCTCTGGTTGCTTCTGACTCTTGAGCAGCATGGTAGAAAGGAACAGTGGAATCAGTAAGGATCCCACATGGACACTCAACAGGTCACCTCTAATTTCTCTAAATTCAATCTTAGTGGCAGAACTAGCACTATTTTAAAATTGAGTTTGTTTTTCTACAAATTGTTATAGAAATAACCTGACCTAGTTTTATGCAGCTCAACAATCTCTAGCTTGTTTTAAGGATATGCATGTACAAGTCATTAAGAAGTAAGCCCAGTCAAATTGTAAGTGGAAAGTATATTTTTGTAAGAGATAATTGCATCCACAATGAGGAAAACACCAGAGGAAGCAATATGAACTTGGTTATCTTTAGCAGAACTATTGTCTTTCCTAATGGAAGTTAAATGGTAACAGTTTATTCTCAGGAAGTCTCTAATGATAAAATTACTGGGGTGTGAATTTTTTCCTTTTTTTTTTTTTTTTTTTCTTACAATAGTGCAAAACTATTAATAAGTAGAGGGATAAAATACAGCAAATCAAATGAGATTACCTTGAACAGCACATTCACAGTTTATATACAAACAGCCCTGTAATCCTGCACTCAAACAAGAGCATCTGAAAAAGTAATTCATTCTGAGATGCTCTCCTCCCAGTCTCTGTAAAAACAGGCAGTACTATATATTTTAATTTTGCAGCAAAACAGCTTCATTAGGCGTGAAAGGTTAATTGCAGGTTTAAGTGCAGTTCGGGGAACAGTGCACGGGTCTGTGGTGAATAGCACAGTCTGCTACAGGAAGGCTGAGTGCTATAAACTGTTTGCCCTGCTGAAATGTTTTACTACCTCATTTACTAACTGTCTTCTTTTACTGCTTGTATTTGTAGTTCTTCTAAACCTTTAATAGCTACAGTTTTATTTCACTGTAATCAGATTTAAATGGAAATACCCATGCTGGGATGTTTAAACATTTTTCCTCTGATTGTATACAACTACATTTGAACTGATGTAAGGCTACACTATCTCTGAAAGTAGAAAAAAAGCCCTACATTATAAAAAATAGTCTTACATAATGGTGTGCATATTTAAAACATTTTTTTCCTCCTCTATTGTTCATTTTAATGAGAAATGCATGGAATTCTTACTATCTCTTTTGTTAAAAGTAAGGTAACAAAGAATGACCTCAGATTAGGCAGGTAACTGGAAATGTTTCATTTCAATTTGAATATGCATTATTCAGACATAACATTTGGATAGATGTCTTCATTTGATTAAATTTCTACACGTCATTGTTATGCAGAATCAGAGCATTCAGAAACCTGAAGACAATAAAATAACTACGAGTCAGGTAGATCAATTAGATTTGTTTGACATTTCAACCAAAATTATAGTCATTGTTTAAGGTGACTTTAAGCAACAAAAATAAAATGCCAGCTGCCATACAGAGAGACTTAAACAGAAAAGACTGGGTAAATACTATATTATTAAAGTCACAGCTTCACTCTTCAGTGCCCACAAGTCTTTGTGTTCCTTTCATCTGTTAAGTCTTTAAAAAGTGGCATTACTCTACATGCTCACCCCATACTGGACAGACTCCTTTTATCATAAAGGATCTCTTGCTCAAAATATTGCCATTGTGGAAGACTTATTGCCCATGGAAGTCTGTAGAAATGGACATGAGCTGTTTGAAGACGCACTAAGTGATGAGAATCACAGACTGTGATGCCTCATGAAAGTCACCATAGCACACAGTGAAGCCAGTGGAGGCAGTTTAATGTTCATCAATAAAACTATCAGTTATAATGTAGGGAATTGTAATGAATTTTGCCATTTACCAATATTTCAAGACTATAAAAATACTGTTTGAAAAATACACTGTGTATATCATATGTGAATTAATGTTATATGCATATATATATAGATATACCAAAATTATGTAATAATGTAACATAAATATGCCATTATGTAACAATTTTATATATGTATATATATATATATACACACACACACACAAATTATATACAATCCCCCCAGTTAATAATGAAGTTTTGTATTACCTACTTCCTAATTTGAAGAAAAAGATCACATTGACCATCATGTTCATGGAATGCACACATTTATTCTTCATAGAAAAAAAAAGTTCATTATAATGTCTGTAATACTGGGGGAACATAGCATTTTAGAAGGAGCATAACACTCTAGAAGATTGTTACTAGGCAGTGTTTCTGAGTACCCATGGAAGAAATCCTCTCACTTTCTGTGAGATACTGTGCTAGAAATAGTCATAT